TTTTAGAGTTTCCAGTTGCCAAAAATTAAACTTTATTTTGCACTTTCCACTGTATTCAGAAGCAGATATTTCCAGAGCAGTAAAGATCATCAGTAAATAATACACATTTTAAAAGTTAAGAAACTTAACAGATGTCATTAATATACAGTATTAAAAACATTCAGGACTTACAACCCACCCTTGAGGAACCCCACAAGTAACCTTTAATCTTTTAGATTTGGATTATTTTGTTGTACATATTGATTTCTTTCATCAAGGTAACTTTTCACCTAGCATCAGTATAAAGAATAGTAAAGTGAATATTTGGTTTAAATTTGTGCATTAACAGTTTGCTTTGTTAGATAGAGATAAGTTGATACAAAATATTTACCCTAAGTGACTGCCAGATGTTACAATACATGACTATCATTTTAGATTGCAAATATATGAGTTATTGAGACAAACTTTAAAAAGAAATCAAGCCCTGGAAGGCTCTCAGAAGTTTCATCACTTAGGGAGACAACATAGCACCTGCCTTTAAGATGTTTTCTTGTTTGATTTCAGAGTCAAGGAGATGGTGTACTGGCTACTTATCAACCACCAAATGAAACAGAGGAAACCATCCATTACGGGGAGATCAACTTTTCAGTGCGAGGACCTGAACAGCTCTCTGTCTCAGTGCAGGACAGTGGACAGCAGCAGGATACACTGTATGCACAGGTCAAAGTGTCCAAGCCAGCAAGCAGCCGAACACAGCCTGCTGACGGTCCAGAAGATATCTACGCTCAAGTGAGGAAAAAATGAGTGGATTAAATTCATTTCATTAAGTTTCATTATACAACTTTTTTTTGTTCCTTTTTTTTTTAACTTATTACAGCTCATGTTTTATCTAGTTGAGCACAGCGTTAGGTCAGGAAGGCCACAGTCACACTCTACTATCATGCCAGAGTTTTAGTAACAGCTGATCTCACGCAAACCTCATCAGCTGATGGCCAGCTGATTTCCTTCAAAGGATCCTAAAATTGGCCAAATAGTACTTATGACACCTTATTTTAACTGTTCTAACCTGCCTACTATTTGCTGCTCCCTCTGCAAGCCGCATTTGCAACTCTCCTCCACCCCAGCTCCTCCTTTAATGTTGTCCAGACTTAATCAATGTCATGCTGTTGTCATTGATGCCTGCTCTGTTTGGCTTTGCTGCTTCTCTCCCTGCCTTATGCTTTCCATGTTATCATGTGGAAGGGCAGGGAGATCCCAGACCAGAGCCATACTGCCAAATATAAATAATTACAATGAAGTATTTTTCTTGACAAAGGGGTCCTGACTGAAATCTTGTTGCTGTGTAATATTCAGCCTCTTATATATGTGCAACTAAAACATACAGAAGTCTATTAGGGACTTTTTTATATTAAACTTACTACAAGCAGTTGCAGTCCACATTTACTTTATTTTATTACCTTTAATTTAATATGTTTAGTTTTATTGTAAAATGCTTTAATTTGATGGTTTTTGACGAGGCATGTTAAATCTCCATCACTTCTCTTTTATTTCCATTTTCTCACCTTGTTTGTTTCCCATGTTTTCATTTGTATTTTTGAAAAACTTCAAAAATAAGCACGAGGCAAAGCTTCTGCTTTTGAAGATATTTATTCATTGCACTGTAATAAAAACCTTGTCTCCTCAAAATACCTAATAATCTCAGTTGCACTTATTGGTCCAACATTTTATATTTATGTGTAAACATCACCTGAAATCAAGGAATTGAATCACAAACATTACAAAAGTGGCAAAATGGATTATGCATAGTATTCGTTGGGCACATGAATTAATATATTGACTACTTACAGGACTTTTTATTTTGTGTATATGTGAATATTAAGAGCGTTCTGTTAAACTTTTAATAAAGCATCTTTAAACAACTGATGCTTAAAATTCATTTGAAATCATTTTGTAAATAAAATGTTAAAAACTCATCCATCTCTGTCAGAATTTTGCTAAATCTTTGGGTATTAGCCTGTAAACATTAGAGGCCTAGAAACTGTATTGCTAAATGTCACAAAGGCCCTACAGAGCCAGGTTGACTGGGCTTCAGGACCATGCCAGGTTATGTGAGAGAATAGAGGTAGACATATGCTTCTCTTAATGACAAGTTTAACAACTACAAACAAATCTAACCTTCATGTTGCAAAGCAAACCTGTCCCTCAGTGATGCAGCATTCATGTCAAGTAGTGTCAATGTGTAGGATCTGCATCGTAGATTATTTTCACTAAAATCACTGACTGTGTTCACAGAGAAAGAACATCTGTCTCACTTTTCCTGAACTGAATCCCTTCAAATGTTAACTTCTCTGTGTATGTGAACCCAGCCAGTGACTCTGGTTGCACCCTGATGGTCTAAATGTTGAGTCAGTGACCACCTCCCTGTTTCTGGATGGACTTCATGTTAGTAGGTTTTTAATTGTGTACTCTGTCCTCCAGAGCCTTCAGCTCAGCCTCCACCTGAGCTGGCAGATCAGCTCCAACCTGCTGAGTGAAGTAAGCTCTCAACTCTTTTGTCTCCTTCTGCCAGAAAGGAACAGGCACGTCAAACAGAGCACCCATATCCACGTTGCCACTCAGACCTTTAGTGTCGACGGCGCCATCTACTGGCAGCCAGCCGATAATGCTCTTCTTGGCTGCTTCATCCTCACTCTCCCTGCCGCAGCACTTGAAGATCCACTCCAACACGCGGGCATTTTCACCAAATCCGGGCCAGAGGAAGGAGCCAGATGCGGGGTCCTTCCTGAACCAGTTAACATGGAAGATCTTGGGTAAATGAGTGGGGGCCTTCCTGCGCTCCATGCTCAACCAGTGAGCGAGGTAGTCACCAAAGTTGTAACCGAAGAATGGACGCATGGCAAAGGGGTCATACATAATGACCTTTCCTGAAGGAAACATGACATCCTTTAGCAGTAGTTATAGTAACTTCCTCACCATCCTATCTTCAAAGAACAACTCTTAAATGATTTGTGTGAGCTTGTACCTTTATGCTCAGCAGCTGCCGTGGCCTCTGACCTCATGGCTGCTCCAACAAAGACTCCGTGCTGCCAGTTGAAGGACTCATAGACCAGAGGAACTCCTGACAACATCAGCATTTGATCAATTTCATGCACACTTGTTTGGGTTTTGGGAAATGTTGCTTGACTTGCCATGTTGATATTAAACACAGATTGTAGTGCACATGTTAAGAACAAGGCAGCACAAACAATGTGAAGCAGGAAGGTGCTGCTATGCTGTATATTATATTGTTATCACAGCAGCTACACTGTAACTGAGAGATCTGTTTTATGCACACCGTTGTAGTATTTAGTTTCAGTCTGAATCAGAGTACAACAGTGCAGGACTATGATAGTGGTGTAATACAGCTTAAGCTTTTTATAAACTAATTATAAGAAAACGTATTAAAAACATGTTCACACTATTTTTCCATGCTTTGAATAAAATGACCTTTACCTTTATCTGAACTCATCAGCTCGTCTTTACCTATCCTGTCTTTTTTTCTCTTAAACAGGATGTTTTTCTTTCTCCAGTCCAGTGTCCTGCCTTTATTCAAGAGATAGGACAGTGGATAGAGTCGGAAATCAGGGAGAGAGAGAGAGAGAGAGAGAGAGAGTGAGGAACAGGTCAGATTTAACCCTGCAGCTGTCTGCTTGGAGGACTAATGCCTCCGTACATGGGGGGCACCCACTAACCACTGTACCACCGGTGCCCCCCTGGTCAACTTTGAATCCTTTTAGTAGTTTGGTCAACATGGTGTTAACTTTTATGTCCTGACCAAATAGGGATGTGAACCAGGGGCCTTCTGACTGTAAGGGAATATGATATCCGCCTTTAGCCCCTTTAAAAATGCCATTTTTATCATATATATATTTTACATGTGGGACAATGTCATGATAAGATCCTTTTGACTTATAATTTTAATTTCTATTGAACCATTTTTGTAAATATGAAAACTTTACATTAGTTGAGATGAAGTAAAAACACAATATTAAGTTATCACAACACTTTCACACATTTCTAGTAAAACTGAGAATGACTACATTTTTTTAATCAGTGGTGAGATGGGTCTGAAAATATTTATTGCATCCTGCTGAAGGTTCAACCCACAGGTCTAATGGTGATTTGTTTTTTTCAGAGTCAACCAGGTGAAGAGATGTCTGCTGAGGAGCCAGCAAGGAAAACAGAGGAAGAAGTACAAGAAAATATCCATTACGGAGAGATAGACTTCTCCAAGATGAGACATGAAGAGTCCTTTAACTCGGTACAGGACCGAGGACAGCAGCAGGAGACACTGTATGCACAAGTCAAAGTGTCCGGGAGAGGAAACAGTGGAACACAGACTGCTGGCAGCCCAGACGATCTCTACGCTAAAGTTAGGAAAAAAATATAACCAGATGAAGATGTAAAACTTCTACATTTTTAAACAACTATGATGTTAACTACATGTATCATAAAAAAAACCCATCCACAATACTATCTGAAAAAGAGACAGTAAATATGGTGCAGGGCTGAGCGTCTCCAAACGAGGACATCTGCTGGATGGATGGAGCAATGCAGTGAAGTTGTAATGCAGCTAAAGGAAGTGACAGAGAGGCAGAACAGGCAAGCAGTACTGAGACAGCTTTATAACAGTGTAGATGACCTCTGATTCAACAACATTTAAAACATCTCAATCTCAAAACTTTGAGATTAATATCCTCAAAGTAACTAAGTAACTTTTACTTAAAGTACATTTTAAACGAGTTACTTTTTACTTTTACTTGAGTACATTTTTAAGCTGGTACTTTTACTTGTACTGAAGTAAAATTTCATCAAAGTAACAGTACTTTTACTTGAGTAGAATATATTAGTACTCTTTACACCGCTGCATGTATGACTGTTATTATTGTCAGTATAAAGATATGTGTATGTGTGAGATTATTTGTTGGTGTGTGTGTGTGTGTGTGTGCATATTATTTTGGTTTACTTATTGCCTCGAATATCTCATTTGGTTACTACTTGTATTTTTACCTGTAGTGTTGTTGTATTGATTATTTTAATGTATGGGTTACTGCCAAGGGGCAACCTCCGGTCTCCAAAAATGAAGCCTATGCGGAAGTACAAAAAACTGCAGTTCCTCGAGGTTCCGCTTGAGGCTGGCTGCAGAAGCGCCGGAAGTGCCATAAGCCCACAGCCAAAAAAGCCCGTTTTTACCACAGGAATCAACATGTTTACAGCCTGGTTCAAAAAACGAGATGTATCTGAGAAGTTGACGGGCCCTTCTCCTCACACTGTGGGGGGGGTGAATTTTTTTATAACTCATCGGATTTTATTCTATTAAGGAAAACGACTATGCCCATATTTGGTTGTGTCAGATTTAATTGACAGCTCTGTGCGCTGCATCTGTCTGTCAGGTCAGCAGGTCAGGAGGCTAACAGCTTGATCCGTCTGATTTCTCCTCTTTCTTACTTCGTTTGGAGAGTTTGTTTAACACATATCTGACAACATACATGGCTTGCTGTGCGGTTAACAGACCATCCAACAAGTTGATGCTTCAGTGTTCTTCGGTAAGTGATATAGTAGTGTTATATTTACTGCTTACTCATGTGTTTATATTTACGGACCTAGCTTGTTTAGCGTTAGCTTGTAAACCAGTCGGCTAACTGTGTAGCTCATTATTTACATTATTTACATTATTTACAGTCAATGGTTTAAAAATGTTTGTTGTTAAGATGTTGTTGTTGAAAATAGTGAGTTTGTGTGATGTTAGAAGCTAAAGGTTCATCTCGGTGGTTAACCACAGACTGTAAATATGGTTATCTGACGTTATGATGAATGTTATACTCCACCTAAATGTGGACATTAAAAAACAAACTTTGTGTAGTAATTATCCGTCAGTAACATAAACTGAACTGAACCTAATGTGCTGTGTAGGTTATAGAGGATGACATTAAAGTTACATGTAGTGTCTTAAGGTTTGAGCAAACTATTAACAAATAAAAAAAACTTCACTTTGTAAGAGCATCTGTAACCATTAAGAACTATATTAATAACCATATTAATTTTCACTGAACTCATACACAGAATATAGCAGTAGAAATATAAAATATAAATAACATATGGAATGAAAATAAGATTTAAAGCACACAGATATAAAGTATAAGAAATAGTTTGAAGAGTACAGCCATGTACTGAGCTCATGTTAATAACAGATGAGTTACTGTATATTCTGTACTAAAGCACAGAGAGTTGGGACCTGTTAATGATTTAAATAATTCAGATTATATTTATTTCATGTTAAGATGAAGTACTATCCACAATAAACTGCTTAATTTTTCCTCACAAAATCTGAGACAATTTGATGTGGAATATCATTGTGTGAGTGAGAGAGGACTCATTTTCTGCCTATGTCACAGACGGGTCAGGGTTCGTCCAGTAATATTTACAGTCTATGGTTACTGCCCTATTTTTGTTTGTTCAACTTTGAAAAAGCTAATAAAAAAAGGGAAAAAAACATTTTGATCATTTGAAGCATTTCTCATCAGGCCTTGGGAAATGTTATTAAGTTATAAAGTTATAAAGTTGCATTATTAGTAATTCTTTCAGTACAAGGAAACTGAGACACACATCTCACGTTTCTATTTTAATAAACACAAATAGTTTGACATGTCAGTGTGTTCAACATGTTTGATGTTATATAGAAGATGAAACTACATCTGTGAGTGTCTGATAAGCCTATAAGAGAAGTGGTTGGATATAAAAAGATGAAAAAGAGGGGAAGTATAACAACCAGAGGTAGTTTGTTTTCTTTAATGAGAACAAGTCCTTCCACTGTATCATTGTAGCCACTGTAGCTGCACAGCTCTCTACAACTAAATGTTTTCATCAGTCCACAATTCTGTTTATTGTCAATGCAATTATTTTTTTTCATTGATTGTGGAAACTCTTTATTTAATTTAGTCCAGTTTCAACAATGACAACTTTTACAATTCCAGCTGCATTAAAAGCAAAACAATAAACACCTTGTGATGATCCATAGTACTTAATGCAGATCTTTCATCTAAATAAAAAATGTAGCTGCAGCGGCCAGAGTTACAACCCCAACCCGTATTATTATAGATATTTACACTAAAGGAACAGCTGTATATTTGTGGTTGAATGGATTTGGTTTGGTCTTGTTATGAATCAGCCTCTGTATGATGAATGTTAAAAGTTCACCTTAATCATAACCTGTAATCGTATGTTTCTTTTAAATATGTCACCGTTAGGATTAGTGAACTTTTATCACATAAGAAGAGGGCATTAAAGCTTGCAAGGAGTATGTGGTTGATGATTACTGTCTTTGAGAAGATAAATATAAAATAAATGATGTGCACACTTCTCCATGTGAGGCAACGAGCAGGCAGAATGCTGACATGTTATATTTCTCCACCTCAGCAGAGACGTCTGTAATTATGTTGTTTTATTTTTTATTATTTTTTTGCTGCAATTCACATAACACCAGATTGTGAAGGAATGCTGAAGGCCCGCAACACCGCCTTCAGATCAGAAGACGCAATGGCCTACAGCGTATCCAGAGCAAACCTGAGGAGGGGCATCATCAAGGCCAAGCACTGCTACAAGCTGAAGGTAGAGGAACACTTCTCCAACTCCGACCCCAGACGCATGTGAAGTGTCTGACATATCTGGAAATTAGGTCAGCTCTGTTTCTTATTAAGAATGTGCAAAACGACAGTTTGTCGTAATTATATTTGAGACCAGTGATGTTTTTTGAGTTATCCGGAAATCCTAAATCTACGACAGGAGCCCTCTCAGTGGAATGTTTACAATGGGGCCCCTGTGTCCAGAGAGTTGCCCAGGGACATCTGGACAAGAGATTGTATCTGTGACCTGTGTTGTCCTTTGCATTCATGACATACATATATTTAAGACAGAAACCCCCGCAGTTGTAGTAAGAGGGGTGTCCTGAAAACAAACAGATGTCCCCATGTTGTTCTCCTGTGGGGTGTGTCCATAAATACCAGAGTTTCTGTGTGTTCGGGGGGAGATCACTTTTGGCTGTGTCTCTCCCAGGTCGAACCATGGCGAGCCTGGCGATGCTGTAACTTGTTTGTCAATAAAATGATCATTATGTAAGCAAGTCAGTGTCAACGGCGAATTTCTTCATCATCAAACATATCAACAACAAGGGAATCCACATCACATGTGGCAGGGCATCCAGGCCATCAGTGATTATAAACCCAGCAACTCCACCCCGATAACCACAGATGTCTCCTTCCTGAACGAGCTAAATCACTTTTATGCTCGTTTCGATAGAGACAACAGGGAGACGCAGACCATGACCAGACCTCCACAGACGTCCACGCTGCACTGAGCTGGATCGACTCTCGAAAGGCTGCTGGTCCAGACGGCATGTGCTTAGAGCACGTGCGGAGCAGCTCACTGGGGTTTTTACGGACATCTTCAACCTGTCCCTTGCCCAAGTAGCTGTGCCAGCATGCTTCAAAGCCACCTCCATTGTCTCCAGTGCTGAAACACTCCAGCCCGACAGGCCTGAATGACTACCGCCCTGTAGCACTCACACCCATCATAATGAAGTGCTTTGAGCGACTGGTCCTAGCACACTTGAAGAACTGCCTCCCACCCACACTGGACCCATACCAGTTCTCCTACCGCAGCAATAGGAGGACAGAGGATGTCGTTTCCAGAGGATGCAGATTTTAGCTCAGCATTCAACTCTGTCATCCCCTCCAAGTTAAACACTAAACTCAGAGACCTGGGCCTCAACACCTCCCTCCGTCACTGGATAATGGACTTTCTGACCAACAGACCCCAGTCTGTTAGGTCAGGACACACCTGCTCCACCACCATCACACTCAACACAGGCGTACCACAGGGCTGTGTGCTGAGCCCATTCCTCTACTCCCTCTTCACCCACGACTGCAGACCTGTACATGGATCCAACACCATCATCAAGTTTGCGGACGATACGGCGGTGATTGGCCTCATCAGCAACAACGATGACACAGCCTACAGGGAGGAGGTACAGCATCTGGCCGCCTGGTGTGCTGACAACAACCTGCTCCTCAACACCAGCAAGACGAAGGAGATCATCGTGGACTTCAGGAGAGAAAGAGGAAGTTCCTGGGGACCCACATCACAGAGGACCTCTCCTGGTCCACTAACACCTCCAGTCTGGTTAAGAAGGCTCATCAACACCTCTTTTTCCTGAGGACACTGAAGAGACAGCACCTGTCTTCAGCTGTACTGATGAACTTCTACCGCTGTGTGATCAAGAGCATCCTGACCAGCAGTGTCACAGTCTGGTACGGAAACTGTTCTGTCACAGACCGTAAGGCGCTACAGCGGGTGGTAAAAACCGCCCAGCGCATCACAAGGTGTCCACTTCCCGCCATTGAGGACGTCCAAAGAAAACGCTGTCCGCGGCGAGCTCACAGCATCCTTAAAGACTCCTCCCACCCTGCCCACAGACTGTTTGCCCTCCTGCCCTCCGGTAGGAGCTTCAGAACTCTGAACTCTGTCTCCCTCCCGAACTCCGCCCCCCGCTGACCCCCTTCCTCTGCACATCACCTCACACCCATCATCCCCCACCACTCCTCCTGGTCATACACACACATCTCTCATCCACCTGTATTATTGTAATATAGTATGTTCATATCACCTCAGTAAGTTATCGACCTGTGCAATATGTCCATATTCTGTATATTATCTGTAATCTAGTATAGCATGCTCACTGCACCTTAATATGTATATTATAATCCTAAGAATATACTTATATTTATAGCATTTATTTATATTTATAGCATCCCATTAATCCAGCCATCCATATATACCCAATAATTCACTTTTTTTGTCTACATCTGTAAATTTTGTAATCACTTGTACATAGCACAGATTCTTGCACTTTCTGTTTATTGCACTTCTGGTGAGATGCCAAACCTTCGTTACTCTATACTTGTAAATGTGTAATGACAATAAAGTTGAATCTCATCTCTCATCTCATTCTAGGACATATTGTGTCTCTGTGTTGCCTACATGATCATGTGGTGGTAAAACATGGTCAACCCAATCCTCCTCTTCCTTGTTGAACATGCCCCACGATGTCTGCATGTCTAAGGGCAGCTGTTGCCTCCTCCACTGCTCTTGCTGGTCTCCATTTGCTCCGCTGCTGCCAGGGTTGGTGCGTTGTTCCTCACCACTGCATCTCTGGATTCCTTCAGTGTCATCTAAAGTCTTACTTTAGCACATTTGAACTCCTCCGTGAGACTGCTGAGGGGCAGTTTTAAGGACATAATCTCCATAGAGAATTATGGAAGTCAGGCAGTGTGGGACTACAAGCCACTTCTTAATCTATCCTGTGACCCCTCTTTCCAGCTTCTCCAATGTTGAAGTTGGGACCTCATAGATTGTAAGGGGCCACACAGTGACTGTGTGCTTTGGTCAGATACTTAATGAGGTTTCTCTTGTTCATTCAGATGTAATGAGCTGTGTCCTGATTTACCCTGACTGATATGCTCTGTAGGCTCATGTTGAAGAGGTAGGCTACAAATAACTGTTGTTGTATGATTAATTGTAGGCCTATCACTAATGTAATTTAATTCTTTAGGAAATTCAGCCTTTGACTCCCTCCCAGTGTCAGCCTGCTGACCTTCCAGGTGTCTCCTTTAATCAGGGCCTCAGATTGAGCGAGGTAACTTTAACTGATAATGAAGGAGGGATCTTCCCTCCAAGGTGTTTTATCTAGTTTATATAAATGATGTTTACCATGTCTTCCTCATTATAGAAGAGTGTCAGACTGCTGCTTTGCCTGAATCAGTTCATCCATGTCGTCTGGCTGAGATTGTTTGTTGAACTGGACTCGGCCATGGTTGTTGTGCTCACTGTCCATGTTGTGGTGGATAATTTACTGCGTACCTGCCCATATTTAAACCCATGAATGTGTAACCTTTATGTGAAACTGAACCAAATGGACTTCATGCTTGTCTTTGTTTTATTTTATTTGTAGGCAGCAGGGACGCGCTGCGGGGAGTACGTGTGGGATCCAGACCACTTCTTGCATGTGGTGTGGTCGGCCTGCTGGTGGTGGACACTCAAGTGTTTGGAAGATTGTCTTTTTTCTTGCAGTGTAAGTTGCAGCGTTAGTGATCACAGTGAGCTCACGTGGTGGTATCTAGTGGAGTCTGTGATAGAATCTCCCTGCAGTAAGTACCCTGTCTGGTTATATTTGTTATAGTTTATTTAAATCAGTAGCTATAACTTTTAGATATTTATTATAATAAAATAAAAAATACCTTTCTATTAAACTTTGTGTTGCTTTCTATTTGCTCAGGTACTCCGGCACCAAGTAAATCATTTTTAAATAAATATGATTGGTGAACTGAATGCACGTCTCCTGCTCTCCTTGAAGCAACACATTTGAAGCCGGGGCCAATCAGGACCTATAGGTTAATATAGCCTTCATATCTGTCTTTAAACACACTACCAAAAAAGGGAAACACTTTAATAAAACAGAAGAGGTGTCAAACACTAACTTCCCCATTCTCACGGTACAAGAAGAAAGGAATAAATCTTTTGGGGTTTTTGTGTCTTAGCAGCGAGGTGACTGGTTTGTTGCAGTTCTGCTGAAATTTAAAAATCGTCTTTTTTCTACATTTTCTCTGTTTAAGCTCCTGGAGGTTTGTTTGGTAAGATCAGCTATGACTGCTATTTATGTTTTATCGTTTTAGTTTTCAGCAGCTTTTATTTTCTTTAAGTGAAAATGACTGTTTTGTTAATCCAACTCTTTAACGAGGACTTTGAAGAGTAACTTAGTTTTTAATTCCAGGTGATGGGTGTTACTGCAGTCCTGTCAGTGAACATGGTAACAGCCATCATGTTACTGACTGTCTTCTCTCTTTCAGGTGAGCTGTTTGTTCACTTACTTTCATTCAAAGATGTTTAATCTGTACAGTTTGAACTTCCTGTAGAAACAAAGCAGAGAGAAGAGTGCAGATAGAGTTTCTTCTTTCATCTCTTCATGTCCTGACTGAAAAGTGAAATGTTTTAGACTGACTTTGTGAACAAGAGAGAAAAAGACCAGAGCACACCACATTACTTCTTAGGCTCTCATTAACATCCTCTATCAGGGATGTCAGACATACGGCCCGACAGCAGGTTTCATCCGGCCCGTGAGACGTTTTGGGAGGAAAGGAGGAAATGTATTGAAAACTATTTTGAGATATTTTATAAATTAAAGATTTGTAATACGTATTTTCCCCGAATTGTATTAAAACCTATGTAAAAATGAGCAACGTAAATGTTGACATCATGATACGAATATTAATTAAACGGGGCACTTTGAATTATCTTCTCAGCAGGGAGTATCATAGAAAAGACGAGTGGCCGAGCGCACGAGCTGCTCCTGCATTACGCTAATCAGCAAACAGGCTGAACAGCTGAGAGAGGTGACACAGAATGCAGGTTTTCAAGAGAGATCGTAGGGGGGATATTTCTTTAGTTTTATTTGCTCACAAGTTGCCAGAATTGTATCAAAGCTACGGGACTAAACGACAGGCACACCGCTGCACTGCGCGCGCATCATGACGGTCTTCACACTTCTTTCCAGTTTCTCCTGTCTTGACTGATGTAAAACTAAAGTTTTACTAATGATAACAAAGCTTCCTATGGAGTGAGCTACAAAGAGCAGCTCGTGCAAATAAAAAACAATCATCTCCGCCATGCGTAATGGCCCAGACCGTCTCCACACATCCTGACTAAGTGTAGGTTGTGGACACCGGCGTTGAGCCTGATGTTTATTGTAAAAACAGTAAATTAAAATTAATATTAGCTGATTTTAATTACAGATGGTTCATTTTTAGGTCACCCAGAGGTGAACGTGTTGTGTTGAGCACCTAAAAGTTTCAGCGCGACATCACTTCTAAATGACTTTGGTAAAGTTAGAAATATATTCACAGATTCGGTTTTCCCGGATCAATAACTCATCAGCGGAACATTGCTCTTACAAAACCGACACCTCTCTGCAATCACAACAAGATAGACTGCTGCGAGCTACATTCGTATTTTCCTCAAAACGAGCCGTCCTCCGCGCTGGGGAACTTGCATTGGCCTCTACGCAGAGCCGGCTGGTGCTCGAATGCGCAGGGACCGTCTGCAAATTGCAACGCCGAAAAACATATGATACAGAAATAAACAATAACTTTTCATGTAGTGTCATGAAAATCATTTTACACATATGTGATCTCACGTTTTTCATAATACATTTCTCAGATTGGAAAATAAAAATTGAGGATTTTTTAAAAGCCTATTATAGCCATAGTTTATAACCCAATAAAATTCAATAAAATCCCTTTTGTAAAGTGTAGGGTAAAACAAAAACCCATTGTGAATAAATGTCCTCCTGCTCTATAAACTACATCACATTGCTTTGGATAAAGGGCTTTCATGTAATTTCAGTGATTTCTTATCATTAAATTTGGTAATAAAATATGTAAGAACTACTATAACATGTTGTAGTGCCATCAAACTCACAGCACACATAAACCATGTCCTCTTGATTATACTACAACTCTTAGTTTGGTAAAATGTGCTTCAGGTATTACAATTTGCTTTCATATAACTTCAAGGTTTTCTTGATAGATATAATTATCGATAAAGTCACTATTATAAGTTATAGGGTGACATAAATAACATCACATATACTCCATATTATGTTGTTTACACTACAGCACTTGGTTTGGGAGTTTTGGCTTTCACTCAATTCTGAGGATTTCTTTTACCTACCAAAAACAACATAATTTCTTTCCAATTAAGTTTTTAGTAGCAGTACTCAGTTTGAACAGTAGGGGTCTCTTTTAGCCAAAACTATGACACTTAGTTTGGAAACTGTGTTTTTGCATAATTAAGGATTTTTTAACATGGATATCATTAAAAAAAAAAGTCACCATTGTAGGCTCTAGGGTCACCAAATATTTCATCACACATAAAGTAATAATGCTTAATGCTTTTATTATGTGTGATTTTTCAGATTTTTTTCATATGCCACATATGAAATCAGGTACATTTAGAACTGAAAATCACATTTGTGTCAACATGCTCTGCTTTTGATCTGTCTGGTTATTTGTTTGTTTTTACTAAAAATCAATACTTACTGAATTCATGTAATAATGCTAATAAATAAATGAAACAAAAGACGTTCACATTAGAGGTTAAAAGACTAATTAAAGTGCAGGATATCTTACAGCCATGAAAAGCTTTTCCATCTAGTAGCAGTGATCATGATGTCTTGTTCCAGAAATCTGATTTCCGATCTATTTGGGGTTGATGTCCACATTACATTGAAGATCCTGGGAATCGTGCTGCTCTACAATTCAGCATCATCTTTGAGTGGTGAGACAAACTGTCATAAGAAATGGAGATTTGTGGCTCATGTTGTTCATCTCATTGCATTTTTATTTTTACAGTGTCAGTGTTTGATTCTAATTCCTTTTTTCTGATCTTTTTTCTTCAGCTGGTTAAAGTCAAGATGCTTCAACAAACAGGTGAAGGTGAGTTACTAGATGAGGACAGGTTCATCATTCAAAGTCAAAGTCAAAGTCAACTTTATTGTCAATTTCAAAATATGCAGACAACAGTGGAATCGAAATTTCGTTTGTCTCCGTCCCGCGGTGCAAAACACCAAAATAAGGTAAAATAAGATAAGGTAAAAATAGATAAATAAAATGAGGTAAAAATAAGATAAATAATATTTACAGTAATAAATTCTAAATTGTGCAAACGGTAGTAAATAAAACACAATAAAATAAATTTTAAAGAAAAAGTGAACTTGTGCAGTAATTGCAAGTGCAGTAAACTGAGTGTACAGAGTTTTTAGTCCAAAGTTCTTGGTGGAATGGGAGGGGGTTTCAACGCCCAGTGTTCGTGGGGGCAGAGGGAGGGAAGGAAGAGAGGGGAGAGAGTTAAGCTTCCTGACAGCTTGGTGGAAGCTGTTTCCCAGTCTGGTGGAGCCGGCCCGCAGGCTGCGGTACCGTCTCCCGATGAGGCTGAAGAGGCTGTGTGAGGGGTGGGTGGGGTCATGCACAATGCTGGTTGCTTTGCGGGTGAGCGGTACCGTAGAGGTCCAGAAGAGAGGGGAGTGGGACACCGATAATCGTTCAGCAGCCTTCACTGTGCGCTGCAGGGTCTTGCGGTTGGCAGCAGTGCAGCTTACACACAGTGATGCAGCTGGTCAGGATGCTCTCGATGGTGCCTCTGTAGAAGGAGCACATGATGGATGGGGGCTCGTGCTCTCTTAAGCTTGCGGAGGAAGTAGAGGCCCTGCTGGGATTCTTGGCCAGTGATGTGGTGTTGGTTGTCCAGGAGAGATCCTCACTGATGTGAACCCCCAGGAACTTGGTGCTGCTCATCTCTCCACAGCAGCACTGTCGATGGTCAGTGGGGGTTTAGGAGTGGGGACTCTCGGAAGTCGACAACAACCTCCTTGGTCTTGTCGACGTTCAGGAAGAGGTTGTTGTCTCTGCACCACGTGGCCAGTTGGCTGACCTCCATCCTGTAGTGCGTCTCATCGTTGTTGGAGATGAGACCAACCACTGTTATGTCGTCCACGAACTTCACATGTAGTTGCTGCTGAAGGATGGAGCGCAGTCGTGGGTCAGCAGCGTGACGAGCAGGGGCTGAGCACACAACCCTGGGGGGCCCCAGTGCTCATGACGATGGTTTTTGATGTGCTGCCGTCGACCCGCACTTTCTACAAAATGAGATTGAAGCACGTGTATAAAAGAGAGAAGTTA